CCCCAACACGGATCCAGGGCTCCCAACACGGATCCAGGGCCCCAACACGGATCCAGGGCCCCCCAACACGGATCCAGGGACTCCCAACACGGATCCAGGGACTCCCAACACGGATCCAGGGATTCCCAACACGGATCCAGGGCCCCCAACACGGATCCAGGGCTCCCAACAGGGATCCAGGGCTCCCAACACAGATCCAGGCCCCCCAACACGGATCCAGGCCCCCCAACACGGATCCAGGGACTCCCAACACGGATCCAGGGACTCCCAGCACGGATCCAGGGACTCCCAGCACGGATCCAGGGCTCCCAACACGGATCCAGGGATTCCCAACACGGATCCAGGGACTCCCAACACGGATCCAGGGACTCCCAACACGGATCCAGGACTCCCAACACGGATCCAGGGCCCCCAACACGGATCCAGGGATTCCCAACACGGATCCAGGGATTCCCAACACGGATCCAGGGACTCCCAACACGGATCCAGGCCCCCAACACGGATCCAGGGACTCCCAACACGGATCCAGGGCCCCCAACACGGATCCAGGGACTCCCAACACGGATCCAGGGATTCCCAACACGGATCCAGGGCTCCCAACACGGATCCAGGGATTCCCAAAAGGGATCCAGGGCTCCCAACACGGATCCAGGGCCCCCCAACGTGGATCCAGGGACTCCCAACATGGATCCAGGGACTCCCAACACGGATCCAGGGATTCCCAACACGGATCCAGGGACTCCCAACACGGATCCAGGGATTCCCAACACGGATCCAGGGATTCCCAACACGGATCCAGGGCTCCCAACACGGATCCAGGGATTCCCAAAAGGGATCCAGGGCTCCCAACATGGATCCAGGGCTCCCAACAGGGATCCAGGCCCCCCAACACGGATCCAGGGCCCCCAACACGGATCCAGGACTCCCAACACGGATCCAGGGATTCCCAACACGGATCCAGGGGCTCCCAACACGGATCCAGGGACTCCCAACACGGATCCAGGGACTCCCAACACGGATCCAGGGCCCCCAACACGGATCCAGGGCCCCCAACACGGATCCAGGCCCCCCAACACGGATCCAGGCCCCCCAAAACGGATCCAGGCTTGCTGGTGGCTCAGAAAAACCG